TGTGTGTGTGTGTGTGTGTGTGTGTGTGTGTGTGTGTGTGTGTGTGTGTGTAGGGTGTGGGCTGGTGTTAGGGCAGAGGCAGGCTCAGTCAGTTGTATGTTATATAAGTAATAATTAGGTTAATGTACAGTGTATTGACCCTGTTGATATGCACTGAGTTGACATCTGCGCTACATGGCCCCTTAAAAACAGATAATGGCTGCTTATCAGTTCTTAAGCTTGTGTCAGTGGTTTAATGTTCAGGACATGAAACCAGATGGTGAGGAATGCCAGTGATGGCAATTAGTGCAAACTGGGGCATGTGTGTAGAGAGTATACAGTGGTTGTTTTCATCGGCCTTTTGAGATGAAACCTCTCAAAACTATACACTCAAGCATGTATGGGAGTGACAGCACTGTGTCTTAAATCCCATGAAAAACACCATATGCAGGAACGGCCCTCTTCCCCCCCTTCAAGGCCAGGCAGCAATAGAGCTCACAGCTGGAGAGCAGTGGAAGTGAGAATCCACTGTCTCCATTCATGGCTCCTCTCCCGCTCCTCAGCTGTGCCATTTTCAATCAATAGCTTTTAGGAAATCAGCATCTACCCTGCAGTTTGAAATGAAAGGCCTCTTTTGTTGTGAAGCCCATAGTGCATATAATGATCTCACGCTGAAGAAACATTCACGTTTTTCAGAGGCATTTTCTCCCGTTGCAGCAAATTTTATAATATGTTCATGTTCAAAGTGAAGCCTGAATGGGGGATTTGGGGGAAAATCTTCACATTCACAGCCAAAGCAGGAATTAAGGTGATGCCTACCTATCTTCTGGTGTGAAGTAGGTGAAAAGCAGTGCGTTATAGCAGCAGTGTATTCTGCAGCACAAGACTTGCATGTGAATAAGATCATCTTGTTTCCCCTCTGGCTCCAGGTGTTTACTGGGACCACTAATTCCCATCTGCATATATGCTTACCTCCTCCTCCTACTCCGCCCACTCCCCTTCTCCTCTCTGTGGATCATGTGCCAGCGCCTGGAGCCAAACAGCAACGCAAGAATGACTTTGATTTGACCAAGGAGAAGTCAGACAACTTCTTTATTATTTTCTGTAAGCAACATACTGCTCGGATACATTGCTTATTACATTGAAGTGATGAAGATAAATTCTGTTGCCAGTAAAAGTTTCATAGTGGCACATGAAGGCAGTGCACATCGTACTAGTACTGGAAATGAAATACTTTACTTAAAGTAGGATTCCCACAGTAAAAAATAAAGTATATATAATAATGTTAACAGCTTAATTAAAGCTCAAAACTGTGTATTCTTATGAGGTTCCTACAGTCAAATAGTGGGTTATGAGTTGATGAATACTTAAAGGACAGACTTTTACAAGATCTGTCAGCTTCTTACTGATTATCTCAACATTAATTCTGAATGATCACCTTGGAGAAGAGGAGGTTGACTACAGGTAACAGTTCTTACCTGTTTCTTGTCTTTATGTTGTCTGTAATTTGGAAACAAACCAGAAACGTCCCTTTGATTTGATGATGTATTCTTTTTCAATAAAACATATCTGAAGAGAAAAAGTTGTACAATATAGGCAAAGTGCTCAGTATAGACAAGAATTAATCATATTTTTAATATCATACTATGGATGTATACTACAAAGTGTGAAGCATCATGTGTTGGGGTAAAATGTGCAGTATTTCCCACTGAAATGTGATGACCTATGATGTCTCACAAAGTAGAAATAATCAAGTAAATTGCCTTAAAACATAACTGAGAAAACTGTATTGTTACTTTACACTTGTACTTTGTACAAATACCACAGATAAATAATAAGATAATAATAAGATAATGATATTCATTATTGCAGTTTAGTTTTAGTTTTCACTGTATTGCATGCTGCTGGGTTATAGTATTTTATGATTTAATAATATCTGGATTGTGGATGTTGATTATCAAGCTGACTTTTTCTGAAGCCAACATCGCCATCTGTTGGTTGAGTACAGTAACTGCTCTTTTAGGCTCAATCTGTGAATCTGCACTTCATGGAGGCAGAGAAAGTGAAAAGAAAAAGGGACAAAGTACTAAGAGTCTTCAGGTTTTATGTTCTTTAAGAAAAGGTCATTGATTGACAGAAAATGTGTGAGCTTTTTTAAATGTGTTTAATGTTCTGGTGGGCAGAGGCTGTAACGGATACAAACAATGTCTACATGTAATCTTTATAATGGAGTCTTGTAGTGAAATAAACGTGTTTTGACTACTTTATTGTTATGATGCTACATATTTCTTGTTACTAGCTGACTTAAGGAAAAGAAAATGTTTTTTTAAAGTCAATATATCAATATGCCATGTCATTATAATCAATATAAGAACATTGTCACCAAGTTGCTACCTCAAATCTTCCTCATCAAAGTACATGTCACAAGATCCCCTACAGACATGTAGAACGTATAATGCAAAAAACTGTATAATTTCCACATTGAAATCTTTAAAATGTAATTTACTCCTTCTACCTAATTAAAGATTCAGAATCTATGAATATGCAAAAAAAATTTCATTTCCGGACGCAAGATGTCTCCTATTTCACTGTAAAGTACATTCTCAGTGTTTGTGTACTGGAGGCTTCAAGTTTCTACATCACACTTATATAAGTTTCATACTGGACCAGGACTACCTCGACTTGCTCGTAGGCCTCTTCAAACTTTCCTTTTTTCAGCAGATTAATGTGAAAACATCCTTCTAGTGTTAAACTCTGCACAGTGAAGATCAAACTCAAACTATCCGACTTTAGGTGCAAAAAGAACAACTATATTTTTGAGTGGAGTGGGACTTTAATGTAATTCAGTTTATACAGACACAATCCATTTGCACTCAAAAAGGACATAATATTTACATGCAAACCTACTAAAGCCAACCTTTACAAAGTCTATACAAAGTTTATTTATTTAGGTTATCAGTGTCATTTTTCTCCTAATTGTAAATATGGAATTAATAAATACACACTGTATTAGTATTTAGTCTTTCCACCACTGCAGTTGTCACTATTTATGGATTTAGGGTTTATTAAAATGTATTTGCTTTATGAAGTTGATATTTCTCTCTGTGCTGCAGTAACAATCCGTTCATTGGCCACCAAACAGTCATCATCATCTCCATCTGTGGGAATGAAACTAAACTGAACTGAAATCCTTCAGGACATAATGAGCCCATGAATCTCTGTTAATTATCCCTTAAAAATGAAGCAATGCCATTTCCTCCATTTGTAGTCATTTTTATGAGGAAGTGTTTGTACAGATTTTCACATTCTCTTTATTTATCAAAACTTCTGTTCCAGTGAAAGCACATTTGTATGCATGTGTGGAACTTAATTCAATTCAGAGAGACACACTTCTAATCATCTGAGGTCATTTGTTGCTGCAGTGTTTGATCACATTTTGCTCTAATACCAGTATTTTAATAATATATTACAATCCTGCAGGCGAAAATACACAATTGAAGGGCAGATAAACTACTCTCTACTAAACTACTATTTCTTTCTTCTCTCTTTGAAGAAAATACAGCTAAAAGACCAGTGGCAAAATGTTAAAAGGCTGATTTCAAAACAGGAAAGAAAAGAAGCAAAGTGCAAGTGGACTGAAGGAAAACTGACCAGAAGAATATATTAGCTTGTAACGCTTTTTTGTTTTTAAAAGAGAAAATTAAATGCAATATTAACATCAATAGTAGTTATGCACATTTGTTTATAAGCGAACATGATATTACAACAGTTCAAGTATGGATGGATTCAACTATAGTACAAAGTAAAGGTCAATTAAAGTCAATTAATATTTTCCTTTTTCATAGAAGACACTTTGATGTGAAAATAATAAAATGAATGAAAGCTTCAGTTTCAGGGTCCTGATATTGTGCATGCTGACTCACTGTCACACTGTTATTGATACTGGGACAGTTGAATTGAGCAGAGCCATTGTTAATGTTATCAGTAAGACCACTGCAGCCCCACATCTGTCTTCATCCACATATAAATAATAGTTACAAAGCATCTCCTCGGTCAGTTTTGACGTTATTAATATTGTACTCGTACTTTACTAACGTTACTACTATACACTGGTGACTATGGAGCGTGTCCTTCACTTTACCACTAGGTGGCAGCATACCATCTCTTTTCGACGGACAGGACTACTGAACAGAAGTTCAACACGAGCTGCAGACAAGTAGAGATGCGTCAAGTCAGCAGGAGACACCAACGACCACTCATAGAAACGTAGCAATTATGACCTTAAAAATAAAAGCGATGAACTGGTTAGTTGACGTTGGACGTGAATTATGACAATATATATGCAATAAATCCATAGCTACTGGTTGTATATTTTATATTAAATTAAAATAACCTTTTCTTGTGATGCTTTTTTTGTGGTCTTGCTTAAATAGGGCTGCACAGTTCATCATGGCCAAGTGTAAAATCGCCGAAGCTGCTATGTTTTGATAAAAGTAAAATGTATGACAAACCAGCATTATAATGAAGTATTGTAGTTCTGCAGAGATGTCATGGCCTACAAATCTTGTTCTCCATATTTAAGAAAACATGTTTGTTTGATACAGACCGCCGGAAATTTTTTTAAGTCATCATTTGACTGTTTAGTTATTAAATTTAATTAAAATGAATTACATTTGTATACTCCTCAAACTTTTTTTCTATTTATGTATTCATTGTTTGCTAAAACGTAGTCAAACTTCAATATAGGCAACTGTAGTACTAAGTACTGCAATCATCCATTATGGTTTATATTTAATTTCAGACTATAAACTCCGTCCATTGCTACAACTCCACAAAGTGTCTATGAAAGGGGGGCTGAGGAGTTGACCTGAGCATCCCCACTATCAGCAACAATAACACCTTATGTGTGAAACCAAGCGCGTAGTTAAGGCTCTTATTTTGAAATGTGAGCGGATATGGTGCGTTTGATTGCGTAACTCTTGACACCGGTCCCAGCAGGCTGTCAGTGCGGTCCCCCTACTCTCCACTTCGCTCTCACTATCCAGGCGGGTAGCAATGTAAGACCGTGGCTGGTGCTTTATCCCGGACCCCCCTCCGCGTCCCGGTCTGGCCCGTCCGCTCAGGATGGATCAGAGGAGAGCTGAACCGGACCGCAACTCCATCACCAACCCGGTTTCGCTTTACGGGGAATTCACAGTCACCGGTAACCGAAAAGTCAGGTACGCCGTGAGCTTGACCGAGAGGGAGCTCATCGTCCAGAGGCTCACCTCAACACCTGTCGGGCGGAACAAGGTGGTGCTCAACCTGAAGGACTGCGTCGGCTGCCGGTCTTACCGAGAAGATGACAACGCGGACCCGGCAGCGTACCTCACAGTCTACTTGTACCCGCTCAGACGGCGCTGGGTGAGTTCCGGGCTGTCGCGGTACAGAGCTGAGCACTGCTTTCGTCTCGCCGAGCTTCAGGACCCGCGCGCTAACCTGGAGGAGGCAGAGAAGTGGGCTCGCGCCATCCGAGAGCGCTCTGCCCGGCAACAGTATCTAAGAGACGGTGAGTGACCGTTAGCAAGGTGGGAAAGTCAACTGTCCTGACGACGGTTATCAACTCAGTGTGTTCAGGGCCAAAATAAGTAACCATGGTAATATCTACATGTGTTCAGGAAGAGGAAGGGTCTGTGGTACCCTGTTGACCCCCGGTTTCTTCCACTCTCTACACTACTGTGTAATATTAGGAAAAGTACATGAAGTAATAAAGGCTCGTCCAGTTTACTTCTACAACATTATACCTTAAAGATCAGTTGTGCAGGTGTTAAAGCCTCTGTTATTCCAGTGTAGGCTGTGCTAGTGGTATACTCTTATGTTATACTGTCATTTTATCATAGCACACTGAAGGGAGGTTTTTTCTGACTTAACTCTAAAATTGATTAGAAAATATGATAATCATTATTATCATTGTTATTAATTATTCTGCTGATTATTATCTACAATTAATCAAATATATGTTTAGTCAAAGGCTCAAATGTTTTCAGTTTACTGTCTCATTATGACAAAGAAAAGCAGCACATCCTCACAGATGAGAAGCTGGAAATTGAGAATTATTGACAGTTTGTTTGAAAAAAAATTACTCAAATTATTAAATAGTTAAGATTGAGAATTAATAGTTAAGACAGGATTATCTGATGATCAATTTAAACATTAATTGTTTCAGCATTGCTGTTTAATAAGTCACTTTAGGGAAATTAACTTAATGAATTGTAGTGAGGAGAGGTGCCACAGCTTCTATATGATTAAATAACTGTAGTCATACTGTCTACATTTGCCTTTTGTCAAGTACTAAACTAATACTATAGGTCATACACTGTAAATGTGATTGTAAAACTTATAGAAGATATAGGAGGGATATTGCAGGACAGAAATAACATATAGTGAGTATCACATGTTTATACATCAGTTGCTATTTAGTTAGCAAATAGTAGCCTTTGTATATTTTATGTACACGGCTGGTTTCTTGTCACTTTATCAGCTCTGTCTTTGCCAAAGGCTATTGTTCTGTTACCTTTAACCTATTTGTTAAATGAACCAAACAACAGGATTGGTCTGGTCCAGAGTTAAATTTCAGTAAATCCAGAATTCACACAAACAAACACAAAAGGAAAGACGCCTGAAAAACACGAGGCAATATTACTGCTATTGAGTTCACATCAAGGTACTGTATATTGTGTATGGAACCGGATCCTTATCTCTAATCTGTCACAGGATATCTTTACCTTTAACCTACTCCTTATATGAATAAAACAATAGCACTGGTGTGGTATGGAGAGTCACATAACACATAGAGTCACAGTAACCCCAGTCTGCAAAACCATTTTGACATAAAAGACACCTGAGAAACACGAGGCAATATCACTGTTATTGAGTTCATGTAATGCCAAGAGGTATAATTACTCCGGTGGGAAACGTTCTTTAATTGGAGATTTCTAAAGATAACTTATCTCATTATTTGCTGTCCTGGCTCTATAAAAAAATAAAATAAAATGCATCACACCAACGTTTACCACAGCCATGGTATCACTCTGTGACCCAGATAGCATTTTCCCATTTGCACAAATGTATTTTTAACGAGACAAAATATGCTGCAATCCTATACTGCCTGTCATTGTCAGAGGAGGAAAGAGTGGTGCAGTGTTATTTGCTTTCACATATGTGATTTCACTTCCTGAAGGTGAACCAGTGAAGACAATGGCCTAACAAGTTTTCTACCTTGGGACAGAGAACCAAACAAAAAGTCTCCATGGCCTCACCTCCGCCTAGGTTACCCAGACTTAAGATCACCTGCTGTATTGTAAGAACTTAGTTTAATCCCAGCAGGGATGCGACAGGTCACCGTGCAACCACCCTCCCTTAGTAACTGTTGCTATGCCTGTCAAGCTTTCCGTTCTCGCTCGGCACACATCCAATTTAAACAAACCGTCGTTTCACACAGATGTAAACAAAGCCGGCTTCTCATTTCTACAACAACAACCGACTACTTTGTCCGCTGAAATTGGTGACTGTCGGTAGGAGATTGGATCGGCTCTAGCTAGCTAGCTGCTTAACGTTAAGTCCGCGAGTTGGTTGAAAACTCTAGCTGACTTATTAATGCTTCCAGCTGAGTTGTATTGTCAAACATTATGTTTCACTCATGCAAGAGAAGAGGCTTTGAGGATAAGGACTGAACAATGAGCAAAGCAAACAAACAAAACTGAGCTTTAGACCCTGAATTAAACAAGCACCTTGTCACCACTATTTTATTTATTAAGCATGAGAAAATGTAATGTGACGATTATCCTGGCTAAAGATGCGATACACGATATCACCACAATAAAAAATCTTACTGGAATCACTTTACCTTACATTTAGTTTTTATTACATCACAGATAGGACAGCTCAGACTGGGACCTTTATTTGTTGTTCTTTAGTTTGGATTCCTCTTGTATTACCACACATCCAGTGTGAGGCATACAATGGACAAACTAAGCCTTCAGCCATGATCACAGGCTCAGGTATTGGAATCACTTGGAAAATGTGGGCTTCCCTTTGTGGCAATTCAAAATACATGAGGAAATTGGTCAGTAATGAAAGTACTCATTAGTCAGCCCTACTGAAAACCTGTGTGCGTCATATTTTAAGGTTTTTGTTTGGAGAGTTGGCAGTTCAGAAGTCATTGACAATGGTCAGTGGTTGTTTTTTTTGTTTATTGCTGAGCAGAAATATTTCAGCTCCTGATCTACCTGCCGTAGTCTCAATGGTCTGAGCACTTTCATGGTCAGTAGCATCCATTTCAAAGCTCATTCAGGCTGCAGAGGGTCTTTGGTATCTCTGGAATGTGAAGACAGGATTCCCGTCTAAAAAGCAGTCTACAGTAAGTTACTCATTACGCCAGAGGCCTTGTGAACCAAACTAAATCATGTTCAGGAGCTCTGCATCCAAACCATTAGTCTAAATGAGGTCAGTGCTGCCTGTCTGACCTCTCCATCAATACTGGTGGATGTGTTGGCCTGACATCCGATGTACTCACAGAATTATTCAGAAAGCGTCTCTTTCTCAACAGGCCTGCTAAAGGTGTAACGTAAGTCTACTTGTGGTTCTAAACGCTGCCTGAAAGAGAACAGTCCTGTCCCAATATATAAATATATTTCAGTCCGACAACTAAGGTTTGAAATGTTTATTACAGCAGTACGACATAGTAAGATATATGTGATATATTGGGAGTGTTACCTTAAACCCCCCAGCCGGAGTCTACTGGTGGATGCTGGGGGTGGTGGTGTGGCTTTACAGGACGACAGGCAGCAATACTGGTGCAGGGCAGCAGTGCCACCAACAGAGCAGATGGAGAGTGAGGCATTTCATGTGTGTATAGTAGTGGAGCTTGAGTTGACTGCCTGAACTAGCTCGCAGGCATGTATATATATATATATATCTCCTTGAATTAGGGTCGCAGCAGTATATCAATGCAATATATGAAAATGTATGTTATCATACAAAAAACATTTGCTTTTGTGCAATATTGAATTCTACGTCTATTAATGTTATTTAAAAAAATATTGAATTGTACCGTTTTAGTGGACATAATATTTAGTGAAATTATAATTGTTCAATCAAAGAAAAACACCCCTCTATAATAATAATAATAATAATAATAATAAAAACAATACTTTCTAATACCTTATACCGTGATATTTTACATACATTTGTTATCTAAGAGGCCAACTCACTTTTCTATAAATATTTGTTGGGTCTGTTTGCACATGCCTAGGGTGCCCAGTGCTGCTCCTATGCTCTATAGATAACACTGCTAAGAGATTGACTGCACATGTCCATCAATAGTGGTTTGCATGACAATGATCATTTTCAAGCATCTGCTAAGACTGTGACACAACCGGGCTGCCATTGGCATATTTTTTTGCGCTGTTTAAGGCAGTTGGTGAGAGAGCGGTCAGACAGGTCTCTGACCACAGTGTGAATGTGGTTTACAAGTTTATGTTCTATAATGAGTTTGGGGTCAGGGACAGGAAGTGTACAATACGATGCATGTCGCCATCAGGGGGTGTTGTTCGGGCCTTCAGAGCAATGGGCTTTTATTTTCACAGTAAGAGGCTGTCCAATGGGACATTTTTCAGACTATTAAGAATAGTGGACCGCCATGGCATGGCGCCGCGGTCCGCTGGCTGTGGGCTCAAGTGCAACTTATAACAGAAGATGTGTGGTGACATGAAGTGACACATACATCAGTCTTTGTTGGCGCCAGTTCTTTGGAAATCAGGAGCTGACTCGTGTTCAACATAAATTAACATCCCTGCTATGACTATTACAATTGACAGTTTAGATGCATTGCCAAGTACTTCCTAAATAGTATTGATCCTGTGATGTCAATAAATGGATTCAATTCAGCTGTGGACGGCATTATTATTTTGAGTCAGGTGATGGCAGCAGGCAGGGAGGTTACTAGTATTGATTAGACTGCGACTGCCTAATGACAATGAATTACAACACAAGAAACTAATGTGAATTAATTAATTTTGGTTAGAATATACGGTCATTCACCCAGCTAATACACACATTATACATTTTATATTTTGTATCTGAGTCAAACACAGTAACATTTTCAATATGTAACCCTTATAATATTAGCAGATATCAAGTATATTCCCATGCTGATGTGTAGGCACAGATAATTGCTGAGCAAAGTCTAGGCTGTGTAATAAGTTAATGAATGATGAGCATTAATAGAACTATGAGTTTAAATGTAAAGGTGACCGTTTAAAATTATTTTATTACTGATAGCGAGATAATAAGATTAGGTTAGACCCTTAAGGGAGAAATACAGATGAGAGGAACTTTGTCATCACAAGGATCAGGACTTGACTGAGTAAGTAAGGCTGTTACTAAAAGTGTGAAACCATGGAAACGGCAGTGATGGAAAGTCAGATGAGAAGCACCGTATTCGACATTCTCAGGGGGACTGGCGTTGCTCCTTTTAGCAGCAAAATCCAGGCCTCTCTCAGCCCGTCA